TATATATATATATATATATATATATATATATATATATATCATTTTTTTTAATTTGTCGGGTTCGGGTTGAACTTGATAACCCAAGGGTTCAACCTGGGTGTTGTCCAAATTCAATTTAGGTTGGAGTTTTTGAATCTAGACCCAACCCAAAATTTTAGATCTTCAACCCAAGTCCTAATTTTTTGGGTTGAGCTCGGATTGAAATCGGAGTGACCTGCCCAAGTTACACCCCCATACATTAGATTATAGGAGTTCACTAATTCAAAACTTTGCTTGTAATTACACATCAATGATAATATAGTATTACCATTCTATCCAACACAAGACTAAACTCGATACAGTAGCCCTACACTGCTCACTCTTTCAAGAAAAATATATATACCTGGTTCTACATAAACTATGCATGAATGAAGAGTTCATGTATAAATAGCAAGCTCTACCTACATTATGGTAGATTATTTATCATTGAGTGAAATTAGATGAAGTATCATCGCAATCTGGAGATCTCAATGGTCACAGGCTAGGCTTCTTCACATTATCTTTGGGCACGATAATAATGAGCACGCTATTCTTCATGCTAGCCTTCATTTCATCCATCTTTGCATCTTTTGGTTTGTTAGATAATTGCATGCGAGAATCCCGAATCAAAGGAAAAGAATTGAAAGAGTCCTAACAAAGCATGAATAAGTTTATTAGTGATCTGATGTATCTGACTAGGTTTAGGTGATATTATTTTATCCATATAACAATGGCTGATTATTATGTAATCGATTACACGATTTTTAGTGAATAATATATCGGTGTAACTTTTTGGTCCGTGCATGTCAGTATAGTATGCTAACATTGATACGTTGTTTCAAATCAAGTTAAATCTTTCTATTTTGTTTTATTATATTTTTCTATATTGAATTCCTATCTCCTCACAATTGGTGTCAGTGCTAGTTAATCGTGGCGCAAAACTAATTTAAATGTGGTGTCATAGCAAGTGGTGAACATCTTAGGTAAACTCTATGAGAGCTAAATTGACAATCTGGGTGCAACTGTAAGAGTAAGTTGTTGACAATCCAACAATTAAGTTGGTGTTAATATTGTCAAAGGTTCTCCTAACACTTGTGTTTGACATGGTGCGAAGATTGATTTTGTCTTACATACATTAAGGAGGTAATCTTGATTTTTTTGATCAAGTGTTTGGATCCAAACAAATATCATCAAGACAGATGGCAAATGTTTTCTGTGGAACTCTTCAAGTGATGGCGTGCACCGAGAGTGAAGGTGATTCTTCAAGGATTTGGATTCTTAGAGTTGTAGTCATGTTAAAACCATAGATAGGGATATATTGGGTCAGCAACCACCAAATATTGATTTGGTGTGTCATACATAGATTTATGAGTCACTGGATTTTGCCTTGGTGAATTGGTGAAGCAAGCGGTTGACCATTGAGTCCTTCAGGAGCAAGGAAAACGCGGGTAGAGACACACAAAAGAAGCCAATGACCCATGACTCGTGGACCGTTCCATGGCCCACAGTCGAC